CTTTTCTCCATGCTGCTGATTAAATAAGTTCTGCTTCCTTTGTTTTTCGTACATAATATTCCCAGTGTGTTTTCCAGTGCTTGTTCATATCATACACTACAATTGTGAATCTGAAAAGCAAAACAAAGGTCTATTCTAGAGGCTACTGGGACACTGATTTAGTATCTGTCAATGTGATACCCCAATTATGTTGGTATGCATATTATACGAGCGTGTGTTACAGTCCCGCATCGATCTATTCTAGAGGCTATAAGGACATTGATATGTATCTGTCAATGAGATATAGTATCTATTATATGTATCGAGGGCACAGAGAAAAACCAATTTGAGCCTTGACAAGGTCCTCAGAATTTATTATATGTAGAAAGTTGTTGTATTAGTGATGATGTCAAGTGTAGGCTTGAGCATCCAGAGGAAATGTTTCTGTAGCTCAAGCCTGGACTCGTGGGCTTAAGTATTCAGTGCGGGTTCTGGTTTTCTTCTCCTGATTCGACATATTCCATAGCAATTTTTGGTATCTATTTCCTTCTCCTAGTTTGACTGTATGACATTCTCTATTGTGATTTAGGGTTTTAAGAAGGCTATTTATATATGTCCTTTAGAGTCTTAGCCTTTGTTTTGGGTTCAGTTACCGAATTTAGTGTTTTTTCTCTTATAGGGTTGAGACAGACGAACTGAGGGCAAAATCTGGTGTCTTTGTGGATCACCATTGTCATTGTCATCACCTATTGGCCTAACTTGGTTTGGGGTTTGCTAAACTCTTACATTGTTGTTGATTGTTTGTTTCTTCTGCATTTTTTGAAACCAAGTCAAGTTGTGTTCGTGCGATCTTGAGCTAGGAATCTAGTACAGTATTCTTAACAAGGACTTCTAAGAATGCATAAGTAAATGTGCACCTAAGAACTCAGGGAAATTTGAGGAATTTTAGAACGAAAGCAGAGAAACCTTTTCTCCAAACCAGAAATTACACTCCAAGCAGTCCTGGCTCATCGTTGCTCATGCAATGACACATGAAACATTCTTGTTACTCAGAAAACTTTCTTTGAGGAAACACAATCCAGAAAACATCATAAATCAGCCTTTCATCCACGCTAAGGATGGCATGGTCCCCATAAATGCTCAGGAGATGGCATGCATATTTGTTGCCTTGTTTCGACCTGAAGCTCAGTGTGCTATATACGCTTCTAATTCCCCTTATGTTTGCATGCTGTAGAAATTTGACTCCTATTCAGAGGCTCTAAGGCTTATAGTGGGACTACCCCATTGTTTAACACAATGTTTTCACTGTAAATAAGTTTGTCATAAATATTTTTGTGTATTTCATTTCGCATTGTACTAATAAATATGGATTTTTTACTAATGCAGATTGTTACTGCAAAATCCTCATGTAACGAGGCACTGAAAGAATTGAGACAGTGGATGATTCCCCAAAAGGTGATTAGAGTAAATATCCTTTTGGTCAAGGATGACAAGTCCTCTCATCCACTCTTCTTCCGGACCAATATATCCTCCAATATTTACTATAATAAGTGAAATATAAAGTAAATTTGTTGGTGCGCATTTCAGGTCAACACTTCAATTACAACATTTCCATCATCAGCAGAAATTGTGTCAGAACCTCTAGGAGTTGTGTTGGTCATCTCAACATGGAACTTTCCCTTCTGTATGTTAATACGTTGCAGCACAGTTCAGAACTAGCTAGTTATACAGATCACAAGTTGCATACTTGTCACCTTGTCGAAGCTTCCCCACCAAATTGTTCATATAGATTGATGTCTTTTTATAACACGTGCTGTTTTATTTTTATTTTCCAGTGTTATCTCTTGATCCTGTCATTGGAGCTATTTCAGCTGGCAATGCAGTTGTGCTAAAACCTTCAGAAATTGCTCCAGCTACGTCTTCAATTCTTGCAAAATTAGTAGAGGAGTATTTAGATAATTCAGCTGTAAAAGTTGTTGAGGGGGCTGTTCCAGAAACAACTGCACTTTTAGAGCAGAAGTGGGATAAGATACTCTATACAGGTTATCAATCTTTCAAATGATGATCCTCCTCAATTTTATATGAGTTCTTTTTTTAATAGGCTTGTAGTGACATATACTACACTACTCAGGGTAAAAGATATGCACCTCATTATCAATTTCTGTGATGCTTCCAGAATCTTATTTTTAATTTTATATGATTTTCTGCACCATAGCTTTACCCTTGCCACCACTACTTGGAGGTATTATCTACATTGACCGTAGAGGTTTCCATAGTTCGAACTTGCGATTCATTACATGAAAGGTTGGCCCTTATTTTGGTAGGCTTTTCTTAATTGTGTGCCGTGTATCAGTGAGTGAACATGAGTTAGTGAACATTTGCAGTCCTAGGTAAGTTCATAGTTCTTTTCTAATACGTAATAACTTTACGTTTTAATTCTAAGTATGACAAGTCACATACAGAAATGCATGGTTCAAATTCAAAATCTGGTAAAAGAAGTTTGGCAAGAGAAGGTTACACTATATGTATACATATATTTAGCGTTCTTCTTACATAGTTCTTTGCTTCGTGCGTTGGTTGACTCCTAACTAGCTAGTAACATACTGACGGAGTATTTGTATACCGTACAGGTAGTGCAAGAATAGGGCGCATTGTGATGGCTGCTGCTGCAAAACACCTTACACCTGTAATTCTAGAACTCGGTGGAAAGTCCCCGGCTGTTGTCCATTCAGATGTCGATTTACAAGTAATTGGTTCTCTTATCAGGCAACATGAATTACAGTTTCATCTAAATTTGAGGCTTGGCTTTAACTGTTTGTGTTAAACTTTTAAGGTTGCAGTTAGGAGGATAATAGCAGGGAAATGGGCATTGAACAATGGACAAGCTTGTATCGGTGTTGATTACATTATCACTACAAAAGACTTTGCTCCAAAGTTGGTACGATGCTCCCCCCTAGGAAAACTTAAAATTGTGAATAAAAAAAGTTTGTATGTTTTATTACACATTGGTCTCATATTACATAGGCAAACTGTCTCATGTGGCTATACGCTTATTTAGTCTCTACATCTAATACCTTGACCTTTTCGGTTGGATACCTCAACATGGTTTCAAAGAATTTTCATTCTCCTCAAAAGAGGAAGGTTCACCACACGTGTGCATGCATGAGCGCATGCGACTATTTAGCCTCTGCGTCACACTTCAATATGTTTCAGGTTACTTTTCTGAAACCATGTCTACTTGACAGATAGAAGCTCTAAAAATTGAACTTGAGCAATTTTTTGGGAAAGATCCAATGAATTCAAAGGATATATCCAGGATAGTAAGCTCAACCCAGTTTAAACGTTTGGCAAAAATGTTGGATGAGGATAAGGTCTCTGATAAGATTGTCCTCGGAGGCCAAATGGATGAGAACCAATTGTGAGTGACACTGACCTTCCTTGCTTGTTAAGAAATGCTACAACTGTATATAAATAGAATGTACAATTCTTCTTAAATGAATTCTCCTTATATCATGTATTCGATGCAGAAAAATAGCTCCAACTATCTTGTTAGATATCCCAGAAGAGTCTCAGCTTATGCAGGAGGAGATATTTGGGCCATTGATGCCTATTGTCACTGTGAGTGCTTGAATTACATCATTACTCTTAACATTGACCTAAGAGATTAACCTATGCAAATTGGAGAGATGAGAGCTTAAGATGAGTAGAGGAAAGCCCTCTATTTATTTGTGTAGAACAGGACTAGTCTATTTATCAACCATATGTAAATGGAAATTGAAACTAATTCATCTATTAATTTCCATGTAACTTTGTCATGCTTATTAGCCCCTCTCTCATTATGTCTTTTTATTAATTGGTCGTAAGGTTGAGAAGATTGAAGACAGTTTTGATGTCATAAATTCAAGGCCAAAGCCTCTTGCAGTGTATGTTTTCACAAACAATGAGCAGCTGAAGAAGGGCTTTGTGGAAAACATATCATCTGGAGGAATGCTCATCAATGACACAGTTCTACATGTGACTGATTCTTCTCCTCTAGGCATACATACATACGTCTTTGCATTTCTGCATCTTCACAAACTAAAATGAAGACCTTATCGTCAACTAATTAAACAGGCATCCAACAGCTACCAGTCTGAAACTTGCACAAATAAGTTGGCCATTTTCTCTCAAATTGAATTTAATTGACTAAAGCCATATACTTGTCACTATCTCCAAGTTAGCATATGACACTCGCTTACATTTATTTATGCTTTCACTAGATAATCAAGTTTAGCTGTGTATCCATCTTTGTTAACCAATAAGCTAATTCATTATTGACATGCTTGCTGTGCAGGTTAGCATAAGTGGTTTACCATTTGGAGGAGTTGGGGAGAGTGGAATGGGTTCATACCATGGTAAATTCTCCTTTGATGGGTTTAGCCACAAGAAGGCAGTTCTTTACAGAAGTTTTAGTGGAGATTCATCTCTGAGGTACCCACCATACACACCTGAAAAGCAAAGATTGCTCAAAGCAGTGATCAGTGGTGACATATTTAGCATAATCCTGGCTTTGATTGGATGGTCTAAATAATGAAATTAGGCATTCTCTAGACAGAATGTCTTCAATTCAGTCTTTCTTGTATGTAAGTTGATATGGATCAATCAAAATTAGTAATTATTAGGCCTCTTCAACTGAATAATATGCATTGCATTTTTTGTTAAGTTTAAAAGGTTTGGGGTTCAGGCTTTCCCCTACAAATTTCTGTTTTACCAACAAGGTCTAGTCCAATGGAAAAAAGCCTTGACTGGCAGACCAGCGGCCTCAAGTTGGAACCCCCATGGCACCTTAGTAGTGTGTCTGAGTTATACCCCACTAGTTATGTTTCAATTTGTTTTGCTAAAGAAAAATAACTCAACATCGATCACTCTGTCAAACCCCTTCAGTTACCACCTTGACCAAGGCAGAGGCTACAACAGAAGTGTTACATTGTCTCCGAAAATGATAAAAGAAATTGAGAACTATAATTGAGCTCAGCACATTGTAAAGAAGTCAGAATATTCTTCATATGTAACCTGAAGTATACTATACAGTTTTCACCAACATATATGGTTGGAAATAGAAATACCAAGTAGACGTGATTCTACATACATACATGTGAAATATATAAAATGTACAGTGGAAATGGAACTATTCCCCTCCAATCCTATATAGTATACAGCGGAGAATGTTTCTTTCTGCTGGATAATTCTCTGTGATCATACGCCATTATAAACGTGCAAGTCTGAGAACCTCACGAAGCATCACCAAAAGCTGAAACTTCTAGACTTGGGTAGCTGATCACAGTTTCCAGGACCCCATCCAATCATCTGCTTCTCATTGTCATAAATCACCATTTTATCTTGCATTGAAATGTCTGTAAATGGGACCAAAAAAGAATGATCATTATTGTCTTCAGAGGTCATGCTTCATAACATACACATGGAAACTCTTACCTCCAATAATGTTAGAATTTTGCAGCCCAACTTCACTACCATTTAAAATTCCCAAGCAAACATTTCCCTTGGACTGCCAGCATATACATCATTAGTTTTCTAACACAGAAAGTGCTTCTACTTGAAATGAAGAAAAATAGGGAGATCATGGAAGGTGAAATTTACCGATATAATTAGATAAGCTTCTGGGGGCAATTCAAACTGTGTGGTATCTTTTCTACCACTGGCAAATCTTAGTGCTAAGGGCTTGAAGTATGTCTTGACATCACGTATGTTCCTAAATGGCTTTCGACCTTTCCAACAAAGTGGGAGAGTCTTGTCATCTAGAGCTTCTTTTAAAGGTTTTCCAGTTAGTTCTCTTTTCAACTACAAGATGACAAGAATAACATGAATCAACTTTTATTCTGAAAACTGTCAACCGGAAATGAAAGGATGATTAATTTTAGTGAGGCAAAAGCCATAATATGAGGGAAAATGGAAGCATTGTAAGTTCTAGATGTAGGTAATGAAAATGCAGACTAGTTTTTGACAAAGCTCTTAACTCACCCATGAAGTCAAAAATTGATAAGCCTGAGAATTAAGATAAGTGTATGAGCTTCCACTGTCAAAAACCATAACGAGGTTTCTAAACCCAGTAGATTTCCCACCGACTATAAGTTCCGCAAGTCCTGGGGAGTAATGTTTGCTGCATAAACCACAAGGAGAATAATTGGTGCAGGAAAAGATGACCATGAATCATGAATTATGAAGCATACATTAAAATAAAACCTTTGTTAGATGAAAAACAGGGTTCAAGAAGGGTTTATTACATGTAATCAGGTGACATTGGTGTCCAAACTATGCGTGAAGAATCATAAAGGCCATCCCCCAAGAAGAAAAACCCGCCCCCTCGCCCACTTAAACAGTGACCAATGACATGTCGCACCAGACCCTGATTACTAAGTTGTGATACGATGCTAGGTTTTCCCTTGCCAAGGCCGAGGACTCCATCTATGGGATGATAAGATGAACCAGGAAGTTGATCATATCCACACCTGTAGACATGACATTAAACAATTAAATGATCAAGATCAAGTATGTCAGCAAGTCTAGGAAACATTGGTTTGTGGCGCCTCAGTATAATATAAGGTTTGGTTTCTGTTTCATATCACATTGTTAAACTTAGTTTATGTTTTCATCAAGTGTCCAATAGAGTATGGTGCATACATTTCATTTTTATCTGACCCAAATCATCACAAGAGGCATCACCATATTGTTAATTCTTCTCAAACAAATTAATTATACTTGTCAGCTTTAATTCTTCTCACTAAATTACTTCAAAGAAATAAACTACTTATCCACAACAATTAACTTAATCATGTTCCATTCCCATGAGGACTTTATGATCTAAGTTGCAATAGCAATTATACGCAGCTATTGATCTAGCTACTTATTAGGCAGTTGCAAAGAGCTGTTTGTTTAAACAAAGTTTCTTGGGGGAAAAAAAACAAAACAAAACAAAAGGGATGGGCGCACGATTTGAGCTTAATCCATTGCAAGAAACAGAAAAAAATCTGAGACCATGTAGGCCAAATCAAATAAATAGTTCCATAAGGATTTAAAGTTAAAGTATGCTATGGCAATTTCTTTCGTTGGCATGGGGACGAGAATCGGGAGATAATTACTTCAAGAAACACAAATATTTAAGTAGAGTAGATAATTAAGCATTGTTAGAGATAATATTGATGAATAATTTAAGCAGGAAAAGTTACCAACCCAAGGGCCAGGTGAGTTGTTCGCTGGTTTCCATTGGTAAAGTTGAGGAGAAAGGCATCCCTTACAAGTACACCAAGGGATGAGCCACCATCTGCATACTCAACTTCATAGTCACATTGCTCTGGATTTTCACATTTGTGGGAACCCGGTGCATGCAAGGCCTCACAGAGGGGGTCCTTACAGACCACTAGATCATTGTTGGGACGGTACAATGGATGAGGAGCCTGCAAAGTGCAAAGTAAAAGGATAAATATACGTTAGGACCCCTCTTTTCCATAACAATTTTTTTTGTATTGTGAAGGTTTAGCATTCAGGAAATGGGACTCCAAAAAAACCATGATTCATTAGAACTGGACAGTAATTGAACAATGCAAGATATGAACAAGAAATTCAGCCAGAGAGGGAAGCAATAGATGTCGCATCAGAATCATCATGTAGGAATTAAGCAGGAGAAATGTTGGTTTATTTAGTATACAATTTTCTTTTCTGTTTTCCATTTTAACTAGAAGCAAGCATTAGTTCCAAGCTAGATGCCCACAAGACAGTAACAAGTAACAACTTGTGCATTCTAACAAGAAAAGGTAGTACAATATGAAGTTGTGATTTATAATTAATTACCTCAGTGCATCTGACACAGGGAGCATCACATTGGAGCCATGTGAGATCACTACCAGTGTCTGGATCAAGAAAGTAGGGCTTTGGAGGCTGACCAATGTTAAGAGTGACATTATAAGACCTGCAAAACAACCCCATTGACTTGAGAGAGTTGAAAACAAACACACTTTTTGTATTATGATGATTGATTAAAAGCAAACACATGGACTTGCACAAATGACACAACGAGACTTACCCAATAGGGTACACGTTTCCATGAACCGGTAAGACAATGGAGGAGGCTGCGCGGTTGAGCCCCAAAGACGACGTCGCTTCATCCGGTAGCATAGTTTTCCTTCTACCCCGATGGTACTGATCACCAAAAGAAGCTGATGACATAGTTGCAGACAAACCCATCACCAACAGCGACATCACCAGCAACAACCACCCAGACTTTCCCTCCGTTTTCATTTTCTGTTTCACAGTAGGCAATAGAATGAATAAACGAAGGAACAAATTTAAGATAAAAGTGTTATTTTGTCTTTTTTCTATGGGAAACTTCACAAGGTGTTCGATAAAATGACTGAAAGAAAATGGAATATATTCCAATGACGGAGTTGGGTGAATGCAACTAAGGACTCATGGTATTGCTTGCTTCCTTTGATTTCTGCTAATTACCCTTCTTCTTCCCTCCAAGTTATTGCAGAATCCTTCTAATCCATCACATTTGAACTTCTTTATTCTTTTCTTCCTCTGACATTGGAATGGCTTGTGTGAATTGTTGCTTAGTTGGATTTTGGAACAAGCATTTGTTTTTTATGCCAATTTTTTAACGAAGATACCAAATGCCAAATGCTTCTTTGCTCAGAGGAAATTACCAAATAACGTTATTTCTTGGAAATTTCTAGGTAACATTGCATTACAAGTACAAAGGTCCCCATTTTGGGCGGAAATACCTGTTTCGAAATTTTTCGAAGTCTCCCAATTTCCTGAAGGGAGGAGGAGGAGCAATAAGAAGGTCGACAAAAGGAGGATGTTTAATTTCATAAAAAGAGTTTTCCTTTTTCTTTTTCTGTTTTTTATAGTATAGATATGTAGTTTGTTGAAATATAACATGCTACATACCTTCAAGTTCGGATATGATGTTTTCGAGTCTCTTATTTTCTTTGTGTCTCACGCAATAATATTTAACACATATTTCCAACTTAACTGGTGACTAACGTGAGTTCATTTTTGTTGAGAAAAGATAAACAAAATCAAAATCTCTTCCACCCATGCTTATACATCTCCTATTCGTACACCCAGCCTCTAGTTGTCTGTCACTCTCATTTTTTGATATATTGGACATACTTCCTCATTCACACACCTTCGCATTTGGTTAATTAGGAGAAGAAAAACCTCAGCATGATAAGAGCAACAATATAGATGTCCAACATAATTGTCGGTGTGACAACCTTGCGGACTGAATTACCAATGCCCTACCGACCACAACAATCAAGAAGTTAGGGCACGATATTAGGATGGGACAACTCAAAGATATTCCTTGTTGAGTTACAACTTTGAGCACTTATATCAGCATTAAAAATAAAAAGTAATATCTCTATTTCTTCGTTCGGTTTTGTCTCATTGGGTCTTCCTTGATTGACTTTTAACTAATAAATAAGTTTTTCTCCTATAGAGGTTATATGAAGGGAAAATCTATGTAAATCATGCGTAAGTCCCACACATGTAAGGTCAATATGAAATTACCTTTTTCTTTTCTTCTTTTTTCCTTTTTTTTTTTTTTTTTTTTTTTTTTTTGTTGGGTTGCGAAGCTGAGTTATGCAGGCTTAGAACCTAATGTGTGAAAATTAAAGTTAGAATGTAATCCATTGAAAGTTTGGAGTAGTGTCCAAATAAAATAAAGCTTGCCTCTGTCCTCACAAGTGAATATATTTCAGACAATCCCATGGGTATCTATGGTTGAAAATTTACCCTCATGTGATAAAGAATTCTATTCATACAAGTGAAAGGGCCTCACCAAGCCATAACAACCTAATTCAAGATCAGATGGGCCCAATTCCCACTACAAAACTTCAAACACATTTGTTTCTCTTGACATCAATCAAATGCATTATAATTACATGTCATGCATACTTAAAAAAGAAAAATTAAAAAAATTTCTGCTACATAATTCCTGGAAATTGTAACAATTTTCTACCGTAAATCATTACCTATTAACATATTATGGAGAATCTAACCCGAGCCCATCAGCTTGATGCTTTTCTCACTCAGCAAGAGCACTAACCAAAGGTCCTTTTATGACGACATCATAAATTCATTTGGTCTCTAAACCAACTTTAAAAGAATATCAGGTACTAAATAAAATAATAATGGACCTACGTCAAGGATCCTCTCGAATAGCATCACACGAGCCCAGCCCGTTTTTTTTTTCTTCAAATTTTTCTGGTACTACCACTTTCACAACCCAACAAGTTTGGTTTAAAATTGGGTTTGTAAGTAGGCAAACATGTTCTGCTGGTCCATTTGGTACTGAGGCTGAGCAGCGCCAAAAGGGTCAAGAATATCTGAGAAGCCATCCATGTAATTGATGAACTGATTATCAAGGGTATTAAGGGAATTCTCTAATTCATCACTGCTCCATTGTAGCTCACTTTGGACCTCCTTCTCCCACGTGACCTCTGGCGACAGCACGTGCTCCGAGCAGCTAGAGTAGTCCGTCGTCTGCTGCACCCTCGGTGCTGAATCCATCGACGACATATCCGTATGGGGTGGTGGCATTTGGGTCATTTCCGGTTTTTGCTCATGCAATATTTCTGGGTATTTGGTCATTTTACTGCGCTCCATGGCAACATTATGTTTCTCTATGCTACCTTTCTTGTTGTATATTCGGCATAGCACCCAATCATCAAGCTGCAATAATAAATAAAATCAAATTAGCACAATATAAAATAAATTTGCAGACGTGTGTTAAATCAGTTGACCAAGACAATGTAATAATTTGTAATCGAATTTAATCCCCGACCTCATACATTAGAGTATTTTACAATATCGCTCTTTATTAAAATGAACCATTTTAATTTGAAGAGATTGAATAATTAGGTAAAAGTCAATAAGGTGCAAAAGGATAAAGTTAGGTACCCTCAAGTTGTTGTTTTTCTTGGAAGCCGACCTATCGACATTTGCAAGGCGGTACTCGTGCATGATCCAATTGGTTTTAACTCCTCTAGGAGCTTTGCCCGCGTAGAACACGAGTGCCTTTTTAATCCCAAGTGCCTTGGGCTTTCCAATGTGCTTGTCCGCCCCGGTCGCCTTCCAGTACCCGGTTCCTGCTGCCCTGTTCGGCCTTGAACCGTTCGGATATTTTCTATCCCTTGGCGAAAAGAAATACCACTCTTTTTCTCCATAAAGAGCCAATTCTGCAAAAACAACAACAAAATTGCAGAAAAAAAATTAAAAAATTGAAATTCAAAGGACCCAAATTGAAATCACATCAAACCAATCCAAAGTTCATAAAAGAATTTTTTTTATTTTTCCTTTTTGTTGGGTTGGGGCCAATTGAGATGAAATCCAGGTGACCCATTAAATTAACCCAATGAAATCCAGTGATTCAATCAGAAATGGTGAAATTGGAAATGGGGATTTGACCAAAATTAAAAATTAAAAAAAATTGGAAATGGGGGAATTTATTTATACCAGGTAGCTGCCAAGGATCAAACTTGTAAAGATCAATCTCTTTGATGATGGGAACAGCAAGAGGCTGCCCAGCACATTTCCGGCACAAGTAATAATTGACCAACTCCTCATCCGTTGGGTGAAATCTGAACCCTGGCGGTAACTCCAACTCACTTCCACTTCCCATTTTTACCGTTTACTTTTTGCAGCTCCCTTGCTCTTGATCTTGCTAGTCGTAGATCGCTTTGAATTTCTTCTTCTGGTTCTAGTTTTAGCTCCTCTGCTTCTAGTTTCTTCTCGGCTTTGGAACGATGGGTTTTACAAGACTCCCAAGCCCTCTTATATACCCGCCCGCACGCTCAACATTATTACTTTTCTTTTTCTTTTTTTCTCTCTTTTTTTAATTCTGACACGTGGGTTCAGAGAGAGAGAGAGATAGTGAGAGAAAGGAGGTGGAGGGGCTGACCGCAGCCAGTCGACGGTCTAACCTGAGAGTGCCACGTGTTCATGGCCCACTTTCAGCTGCTGCTTGTGTCATTGCTTTCGTCACCTACTTTGGACGTTCCTCTCTCCGCTTTTTTAAACCCTGCCTCTACTGCATCGTTGACGGTAGTTCTCGATCTCCTGTTCCACGAGGAGGTTTTATTTTGTGCGGTCAGCGAATCACCATTTGCCACATTCGGTATGTGGAAGACTTTTTGGTCCAAGCGGAAACTGAAGGACGACCGTTCAACTGCTTGGATTTGGAGTTTCCTTAGCCCCCACGCATGACGTATGGAAAAAACGTCATGGCACTGCTGGATCATGGATGGATCCACAATTAACTAATCCAAAATTCTACGACTCACCAAACAAATCATCTCTCTCTCTATCTTGAACTTGCGTTCTGCCGCATCACATAGTCCTTTTCTTTATTTTCCATAAGAAACAAAATTATAAGGAAGATACTTATGAATCAACTCCCAACATTTTCAATATCAAAATAAATCTCAACGTCCATACGAATAATGCTACACATACAACATTTTTATTCTATATTTTTATACTATACATATCATATGTCACATCAAGTAAATCAATGAAGTGTATTTTAATAATAATAAAAATTTAATTAACAATTTTTTTTAAGTGTTAGTAATTTATAAATGAAATGTTAAATAATTTTAATTAATGTGGCTGTCCACCTTATCTACCACATAAAGTAATATGAGAATGTGGTAAGAGTAGTATTATTCCATCCATACTAATAATAGCATGTTTACTTATGAGGAACGCATATTTAGATGATTTTGATTCTCGCTTATTTTGTATTTACTAGAATATTGATATTGGAATGATTCTAATGTCATACGTCCCATATCTTTATTACGCATAGTGAATTAAAAATAATGTGGATTCTATATTAAAATTTGTAATTAAATACCCTCAAAATCATGAATCGTATCAACTTGAGAGTAGTTGATCTAATTCCAATTTCTTACTTCCCTTATTACTAAGTTCACAAATTCATGAATTCCTCCATTTCTAGTAAATAAACATATGATTATTACCTTGAATTTGCTAACCCGTATGTGTCTATATTTACTTCTCTATAAACATGTTAAAATTGAAGTTGTTCAAGTTGAAAAAAGAAGCCTTCGGATATTTCTTACTTGTGACAAAATATGCCAAGGAATATTATTAGTAGAACTAGAGGTTAAAATATGATTCGAAGCTGTAGTAGAATATCCTGCAATAATTAATTTTTTTTTTCATATAATTTAAACGTATTGCCCTTTAATAAACCATGCTACCATGCTCAAGGGCTGCAATTTCAAATTGAAGGACGTAAGCATGACTAACAGGGTAAGTTCCACCAGTCTTAACATTCGCACTATGTGTTTTTAATAACATTGCGGATTGACTCTTGTTAAGTCGTAAAAGGGTGCTTGTACTGAAATGCATAAAGTTTCACACTATGGATTAGTACATATTCAGGTTCACATTGTAGGTGCTTCATGTGTTTAGAGATTGCATTATGTGATTATAGATGACCTGTTTTAATAAAGAAAGCATCGCTTGTCTATAGTTCGTTTTGTTTAATCACTCTTCACGGTAGCTTGAAGGGGAATGACTTAACTATTTAAACTCATGGCCAATAAAGATTATTAAACCTTTCGGAATATAGAAGCTTAGTGTTCTAGTGCTTGATCTAGTGGGAGAATATTATGTTTTCCTATTTAGATCGGCGCGCTAGATACTAAGTCATATCATGTTTAATAAGAGTTTAAATTAAGTTGTACCTTGAGGCCCAAAACTTAGTGAAATGAGGAAGGATTTTGAGGCCTATTATATTTCCATTTATGTGTAAACCGATTAAGTGGCCTTGAAAGATAAGTCAAGTCAGCCCTCGGTGATGAGTAGAGACGACTTGACCTAGCTATATATAAACTAAAGGCCCTGCTCTCATCAGACACATTATCAAAACCTATTCTCATCAAACAGAGAGAGCTGAAACAGATTCTGAGAGAGAGCAGAAGTCTTGAGCCGTTCCTTTTCTTGCTAGGATTGCTGCTGCTATGGATTGGATGAATACATAAGTTGTGTACTCAAGGAAGATGGCTTTAGGTATGTCTTCATATCTTTACATGTATTACAGGTTGTGTGTAAGATCTAGAACATGCATATAAAGAATCTAACACTATGATCTGTAATAATAACAAGTCCAACTGCGAAGCA